ATGAATTAATCTCCTAGCGCTTTATTATTGTTTAGTAAGTACAGTTTATCTTGAATATATAGAGTTCTGTGTATGGTTGCTGAATTATATTCAATTAGAAAAATTGTTTGATTTGGTATGTAATACTGATCAAACTGTTGTACTTCTCTACATTTCATTGGATTCTAGGAAGTTGTTGAAAGTTTGGGGCAAATTAGAGCAACAGTGTCATTCATCTAAATGATTTACATTAAATTTCCTGGTTGGTTTCCTGGTTTTAACTGGTTTCTGGTATTTCTCTTCGGAAAGACTATGTGAGTGAGTTTGTGTGTATGTGTGTGAGTGAGTGTGATAAGAAAATCAGCACCTAGTTAGGACACAGCAGGTAGGAAGAGAGCCTGTTCTCTGAAGTCCCACAGACCTGGATTAAATCCTACCTTCCCAGAATAACTTCTTTGAGTCTGCTTCCTTGTTCTGTACAATGGGGCTAAGTGTTTACTTCACAGGGTTTTCGTTTAGTTACCTGAGGAACAGAAAGAAATCCTAACTCTCTTGGTAAGGTTTGCTTCAGGTTCATTGTGACATTGAGCTCATTATGCACTAAGTCAATGTATAAGTCAGAGAATAGATTGTGAGGGAATTTGAGTAACAGAGTGAAACTTTTCAATGAGGATGTGGATTGGAATACGCAATTTAAAGCAATAAAAATTCCACTTAAAAGGCTGTGTGTTATATATTGATATGGATTTTCTAATGAAAACTATTCTAAAATTTGAAATTGGGGGATTCATATTTCTGGTCATTTAATAATAAAGTAGAGTTTGTGAAGGCATGTGTAGAATATGATCAAGAAACTTAAAAGTGATTGAAAAATTTCCCCTTAATATTAAGGGTGGGCAGTAGAAATAGTCCAAAGAGATTATATTATTGAAGAGATTATATTTAAATCTAGTCACCAGATCCTATTAATTTATTACTAATTTATATAACTAGCTTGATAATGCTAGTTGCAGTTTTCAAATCATAGCCTTAGGTATTCTGTACAGAAAAAACAATATATAGTTTCTGTCCAGCTATCTTTGGTTAATATTTAGCAAGAGGGGTTACTTTGTATCTAGTATCTATTTTGTTCTGGTATCTGATTTATTTTAATATCTTGAGTGAAGTTGACTATGTAAAATAGATGAACTTCCACCAAATAATTCCTTTTGTGCTATTAAAATAAGATTTAAATTTTAGATTTTTTTTTTTTGGCAAACACTGAATGATTCAAATTTGGGACATTGTAGACCTTGTTCTGTGTAGATAAGGAATTTTATTTTTCTTGAGTGATAAAAGAAAGTAGTATTTCCATCTTGAGAAATAGTTAGTATTTCTTAGTTGGTAGATTAATCTTGGGTTGCTGACTTAACATATTTTTAAAGCCCACATCCTTTTGGGGTTTACAGATGGGGAAAAGTTAGAATTAAGTTGCAAAATTGTGGCTTCATGTTTCCAAAAACGATCAGTTGGTTCATATAATTTCCCCCAGAAAAAATCAGGAAAATTATTTTCTCTGTGACTGTTGAAATGATGTCATGTGGAGGCTTTACTAGTTAGATGTAACCTTTTGGATTGCTTTTCTAGTAAACAGCTTAGAAACAAAAATAGTGATGATTTAGCTCCTTAAAGAGAATTTATTTTTTGGTGGTAAAGGCTGTCCTGTTGAACTCTTAGATAGTCTGAATCTTTTTGATCACCAGCTGCTGGTGGATCTTTATGTTTTTTTAAAATTATGATCCTGCCCTGGCTGGTGTGGCTCAGTGAATTGAGCACTGAACCCTTTGGAAGCAAAGGGTTACCAGTTTGATTCCCAGTCAGGGCACATGCCTGGGTTGTGGGTCAGGTCCCCAGTGGGGAGGCATGAGAGGCAACCACATACTGATGTTTCTCTCTTTTTCTCTCTCCATTCCCCTCTCTCTAAAAATAAGTAAATAAATAAATAAATAAAATCTTTAAAAAATAAAATAAAATCATAATGCTTTTTTGGAAAAAAAAGATAAATATCCCCCCCCCCATGCAAGTATTGCAAATACTTCTGAGAATTTCCAAATAACTTTAGAGGACTCGTAGTCTCCCAACATTCATGTGGAAAGGTGTTGGGAGACTCCTACAAGCAGAATAGCCATCTAAGAACATAAGAATGATAGAGAAATCAGTGTTAGTTCAAAACGTACATTTTACCTGGCACACTCACTTATTCAACATGTATGTATCGAGCACCTACTATGTTCCCAGACTTCCTGCAGTGAACAAGCCAGAGAAGAGCCTCATTCCCCCAGAGTTTATATTCTGGGGGATGTTCATCTTGAAGGTGAAACACAGTGGTCTTGACCCTCAGAATTGGCTCTTGCTGGTACTAAGCGTCCCCATTTCTTCAGGCACCAGAGACGATTTTGATTAATTGACCTGACAGTGCATGACACAACATATTTACTCGGGTGGATTTAATAGCCCCCGAGACTCCCAAAGGAAACATGAAAATTTCCACATACTATTATCCTGATGGGGTCGTGGTGAGAGAAAGTACGAGCAAAGATTTAAAGTTCTCAGAGGCAGAGGAAGCCCTTGGTCGGTCCTGTCACCTCATTTCACCTCAGACAGGAAAGTCGGGCATCCTGGGCCAGACGCATAAAAGGAAAACATTTTAGGAGAATTTATTGTCCTCCGAGGGAAATAAATAGTGTGTTTCTTGGGGGCACGCATTATTTATAATTAAAAAAACATACATGTGGCAGCAATGTTTTTGATAAATTGTGGCAGGTAATATTTTCTGTATTTGGGAATTCTAAGAAGGAAGGGAATAATTAATCTAGAATGGTCTGTAGAGGTGGTTCTCGAAGTGTGGTCCAGGGCCCCCTGGGAATGTGATAAAAGTGCACATTCTCAGCCGCCCCAGACCTACGGATCGGACAGGAGCTGTGGGAGTGCGGACAGCAGTCTGCGTGTTAATCAGTTTTCCAGGGTGTGTGATGCTGCAGAAGTGCTCTGGCTTGCTCCGCCGCAGTGAGAACCACTGCTCACAACTAGGCGCAAAGTATCGCTTTTAAGATCTGGCTCATATTTATCAAACATTTACGCAGGCAAGTTGTCTTGGGAGCTTTTGAAATGTATGAGGCAATGTGGGACATGCTACTTTGCATGGTAATACTCCTTTAAAATACCACTTAATACTTTCTTAATACTTAAGGGAAATTTATTTTCTTTTTTAAACTTAATACTAAAACATCCCAAAATAATTAATTTATATTAAAGTGGACCACTTTATATTAAATTAGATAACATAATTAAAAACCTAGCACAATGTCTAACACACTATAGATGCTATGTATATTGTAGGTTCTCTTATGCTTTTATTATGCACAAGTATTTACTTTTTAAAATTTGTCATGTATATATTAACTCACTCTGTCCATTTCAGGGTTTGAATATAAATAAAATGTAGATGTGTTAAATATTAAAAAACAAAATTAATGGGGTATTTTGCACATGTACCTTGTGGGGCAGCATATACTTCACACGGACGTAGAGTGAAAGTTTAGATTTCTGTAAGGCAGAGCTAAGTCTGAGCTGAAGATCAAAGAGTCAGTAGCATAGGAGACACTGCATTTTCAAACTGCTTCTGGCCTCACCTGCCTTTATATCCCCAGATTCTACCAGTCTGAGAGTGCAAATGAGTTACCTTGGCATTGACATCAATCATCCACAATTTTCTGGCTTTCCTTCCTCATTTGCTGAGAGCACACTTCAGCCCCTTCCCCAGAGGAACCCCCAGTTTTGGGGGGAGTTTTCAGAGCACATTTGGAGGTGTTCTGGAGCCAGGCAGCTCCCATCCCTGTACTGTACTTGGAGTCTATGGCCCGATTGACTTCCGATGGCTCTCTGCCATTGCCCCAGTGTCCAGGGCTCTGGCTGGGGCTGCGCTTCTGCCCAGAGCCCTGTGTCTGGTGCACCCTCAAAACTCAGAGTCCTCTGCAGGCCAACAGGTGCTCTGCCACTGTCACAACTCACAGATGCCATATTGTATCATCACCTCAAATTCCTATCGGATTTCCCAACACCTTCTCCTCTTTCCTAGGTACCCACTTGGAAGTCTTCTTCCTAGATGCATATTAATGCAGGCAAATTCAAGCTTTGGTGGGGAGGAGGCCACAGCAGGGCTGGCTTCAGGGACCGGCCTCGGCAGCTGCCCTGGGTCCCACACTCAGAAAGGCCCTGTGCATGGTTTTACACTCCGTTGTTGTTACCTTGAAATTTTGGAACACAGGGTCCTGCATTTTCATTTTGCACGGAGTTCTTTGATGAGGTGCCAGTCTGGGCAGCTGCCCCCCCATTCAGCAGGGACCCAAACTCTGAACTTCAGTTTAGGGACAGTTTATCAGACAATGCCTGCTTCTTCCTGAATTTGTCCTTTAGATTCACATTAACAGTTTCTAAATTCCCCTTAAACCATTTCCCAATGTTTGGTAATGAGATAGTTAGGTATGATTTTTCTTAGAGGAGAGGTAGAATATATAACTGCATAGGAATCCTACAACAGTTTATTATTGTTGCCTCTTTTGATACTAAGTTGATTTTTGATTATTTACTTAAGATGTCACTTGTGTTAACAGATTTTTCTGGTGTAAAAGTTGGCAAAAGTTTATCTGGAACCAAATTAAATGTGATTCAGACCTTAGACATTCAGTACATTATCCATTAAATGCTAAGGACGAGGATCATAAAAATGGAGTAAGTGCTGTCCCTGTTTTCTTAACAGCTCAAAGCAGACCTAGAAGGACAGGTGCAGAGGGCCATTATTTCTGCTTGGGGCACAGCGTAGGGGAGCAGATTAAATACCGTTTCATAATATGATATCGCCAGCAGGGGCTTAGAGTCCCTGAAAGACAATATGCCTTAGACTGGGCTCGGAATCATGGCGGCTGTTCAGACCTGTTTTATGATTCCCATTTTACTACTTTTTTTTTTTCCTGTTCCCTTAGCCTCGGCACCCCAGTCCGATGAAGGCTCTGACATTGACTCTGAACCTGATTTGCCACTGAAGAGGAAACAGCGTAGGAGCCGAACCACCTTCACGGCGGAACAGCTCGAAGAACTGGAACGCGCTTTCGAGAGAACCCACTACCCTGATATTTACACCAGGGAGGAGCTGGCGCAGCGGGCGAAGCTCACCGAGGCCCGAGTACAGGTACGAGGGCCGCGCGCTGGTCCTGCCGCTCGCTCAGTCCAGGCAGGAAACCGGGCCTCCTCCTTGGACGCAGGTTTTAAACCAGGACTGTAGCTATGTTAGCAACGGTGCTTGGTGAATTGTAGCCTCGAACATTCAAAACTTTCTTCTTTTCTAATTCCTTTTCTTTATATTTTGCCATGTCGTGATGAAAATGTCACGACCTCTTTTATCTTTTTATTTGCGTTTGCCTGATTCAACTTCCCCCACACCTCTTTTGTTTTACGTATGACCACTTGGCAATATCTTACTTTGCCAGTCAGTCAGAAAATTATTATTTTTTTCCCTTAATAGGTTGGTAAGTTCAATTAAATTTATGATGGACACAATGGATACTTCTTGGATGGATATTTTTTTGGTATTTGTGAAAGTGTGCGTTCTTATTTTAGAATTTGTCTCTTAGTAGGAGAATATGATTGCGTTAGCTAAGACACACAGAAATGTGTCAATTCCTGTTTTCACTCATCATTTCAGGAACCCCAATTATGCACCAGTCATTACATGGATTATGGGGGTGCTGTACAGATATTAGCAAACCGATTGGGAGTGGTTTTCCTGTGCCAGGTATTGTTCTAAGTGCTTTACATGAATCAACCATTTACTTGTCATTAAAAGCCGAGGTTGGTACTGTTATTATCCCCAATTTACTTACCAGATTATTTAAGTAATTACCCAAAAGTGCACCGCTCGTAAATGACAGAGGTAATGGAACTCCGTACATTTTCTCTCCACTGCCTTTCAGTTGTGAAGATGTGCAAAGGTGTGGAAGGTAAAAATCCCTTCCTTTAAGGGATGTATTGTCTAGAAGCATTTCAAGTAACTATACTATTTTAAGAATAGTTTGAATTATCTTTTGAACTGTGAGATGTACACTTGACCCTTGAACAGCATGGAAGTCAGGGGTGCTGAGTCATGAATAGTTGAAAATCTGTATATACTTCTTGACTCATGGACAATTTAGTTGTCCCTTGGGATCCATGGGGGATTGGTTCCAGAGCGCCCTGCAGATACCAAAATCCCAGTACGCTCAGGTCCTCTGCACCCACAAACTGCCAACTGTGGACTGAGAACACTGCAGGTATTTACTGAAGAAAACCAGCATGTAAGTGGATCCACGCAGTTCAGACCTGTGTGGTTCAAGAGTCAGCTATACTCTGGGCCCTCTGGAGAAGGCTTCTTGTGGATAATATGCTTCTGTTGAGTGACAGAATGATGTTCTCATCACTGATGATGAACTTTCCCCTCGAGGACATAAAGCATCATTTGAAAGATTATAAATGTCTTGCAGGGGTGTCCAATCTGCAGCCTGAGGGCTGCATACAGCTGAGGATGGCTGGGAATGTGGGCAATGCAAAATCGTAAATTTACTGAAAACATTAGGAGACTTTTCTTTGTGATTACATGTCACAATGTCTTTAATGTGTGGCCCAAGCCAACTCTTCTTCTTCCAATGTGGCCCAGAGATGCCAAAAGGCTGGATACCCCTGTTAGAGTATCCTGGAAATCCTTACTATCCCAGAAGTTAAGTCACCTTATCTGGTAATGTTGTGTTATTCCTAGACACTGAACTTTTTTTTTTTAGTCAAAGTGAGGTTGGAAACTCAGCAGTGAATGAGTCAGGTGATGTGATCTCTAAAGTGATCACCACTTTCTCAGATGCAGGCAATTGCCTCTGCTATCATAGAATTTTACAGCAGTAACCTCTTGCAGGCTGCAGAGTCTACTTAGAGGAATTGTCTTTAAAAATATTATTTATTTTTAGAGACAGGGGAAGGGAGGGAGGAAGAGAGGGAGAGAAACATTAATGTGTGGTTGCCTCTCACATGGCCCCCACTGGGGACCTGGCCTGCAACCCAGGCATGTGCCCTGACTGGTGACTCTTTGATTCACAGCCCAAGCTCAATCCACTGAGCTACACCAGCCAGGGCTTGTCTTTTTCAATTTTACTTTCCAAATGATCGTCATGGTGCTAGGGAAGTCAAGGAATGCAAAGGTGAATTAAGATAAGTTTTTAAGGAGCTATAATTAATATGGGTAACAAAGTAAACATGCAAGTAATTTTAAAAACGAAGCAGGTAAGTAGCACAAGAACGAGACAACGTAGTGGGAGTTGAGCAGAGGAAAGGATGAGCTCTTGCTGGCGTAAACAAGAGAGGCTCATAGAGAAGGAGGATTTAAGATGGACTTTTGAGGTGAAATAGTTATTCATTGGACAGCGCAGATAGGGGAATAATCTGAGCAAAAGCACAGAGAGTTGGAAGCACATGAGTTACATATCGGGTGACTTTTCATATTTCACTCACATCGAGGGAACAGTGAATAGCTCAGTTTGGTTGGAAGGTAAGGAGCGGTGGGTGGCAGGAAGGAACATGGCTGGAACTCTAGGCTGAGGACATCCTGTGGAAGCTGGGGGCGTCAGGCTAGGACACTCACACTCAGTGTGACGGGCAGGGGAGGCCGTGGGTGCGAAATAGGTCAGGGATGGCAGTGTGACGGGAAGGGAAAGGAGGGCCGAGAAAGGTATTCAGAGGTGGGATGTGGGCAACTGATTGTGACAGCAGGGGGTGGGCGGAAGGGTGAGTGAAGGTGGGGATGACAGTTTCACAGTGTACAAGCTTCCGCTTGGTCCTCTTCCGCCCGTCTGCCTGTTACATGGGAGCACGGAGTTTCCTCCCAGAAAGGACCTCCTCTAACCACACATCATAGTGATATGTATGTGTAAGCCTTATATTTTTGTGTAATGATGTACGGTATACCTATTATAATATTATATATGACAGTGCTATAATTATTATACGTGTCAAATCTATTTTGCTTTTATTATAGTTCTGTGATTGCCTGGTTTAAATTCCTCCATTCTTTCAGCAAACCTTTATTGAGTGCACACTATATTCCAGGATTTGGTCCCTATACTCCATGACTGGCCTTAAGATAGGTGGAATATCAGCTCTGAATGCAGAGTGAAAAAAATAAACATTGATTTTTAAAGAAATCAAACAGAGAGTGATGGACAACTGAAGTGGGTGTTCAGTGTCGCTCTGTTTCATTCTCGCCTTTGCCAAAGACAAGGATGGGCGACTGGATGAGTCTCAAGCCCGTGTGGCTGGTACAGTGCCTGGCATTTGCGTCTGGCTTAGTGAATGTCAGAGGATAAGAATGGCCCATTAACTTCCAGAGGACGCGGGATCAAACCAATAGAGAGTGGTTCATATTTTTCTATACAGTGACCTCCTCTCCAAAGCAGGGCCCTCATTAACTTAACAGCTGTCCTAATGTGGCTTTAACCCGGTGACTCTTTACATTCCTTACGGCTTCATTAGTTCCCTTGAGACACATCACGTCCTGAGCCACAGCTATGATCTACAGCCTAACAAATTCCCTACAACACCCAGCATATGGATCTTTTACTTAACCCAGCAGGAAAAAGAAGGGAGTAGTTAATCACTGATTAAAATGCCAAAACAAAATCCTTTAGTTTTTAGAAGGATCTGGGAAAGCAGTAGCAAAGTCAACTCAGTTTGAGTGATAGCCAGAAAGTGTGAGTTAGTTTAATTTGGGGCACCTGGGAAAACCAAATACCAAACCGAAAAAACACCCCAAACCCAGACACTTTCCTTTTTGTTACCCCTGAGAAAAAAATATTTCTAAACTCTTCTAGATAGAGATGAGACTAAAGCTATAATAATTTAAACCTTTGTCAGTATTTCATAAAAACTCATTTGGAGAATAGCTATGTTGTTTATCATGGCCCAATCGGAGTGCGCAATCTAAGAATTATTGTCCACCAGAAACTAATTTGCCTAATCTACTTCCTGGGTAGCTGTTATTTTGTAAATGATGGCAGCATTAAAGTTTTGTGGGGAAGGATGATTTACAAATATTTATGATGTGCAAAATTTCAGTAAATATTTCATCTAAGAACTCTGTGAAGCAGGAAAGAATCCTTCTCTATTGCCACCAAGATACTAGAAGACAGGAAAGGAAATTGCTCGTGGAAACAGCAACTAGACTTCATTTAACTAGAAGTCAGAAGATGTGGGTTTTGGTCTCAGCTTGTCAAAGCATTTTGTTGAGCAAAGCCACTTAATTCTGTTATAACCTGGTGTGCTTCAGATTGTTTCTTTCTAACTTTGAAATTGGAGGAAGGTTAGCGGAGATGATCTCTGTCTGGGCTTGTGGGCAACCAAGAAAATCACAGGTGACTTCAGGAGATTTGAGACTTTTGCGCAAAACTGTGTGCCTTTGCTTCTCCTCCTCCTCCTTCTGTCCCTTTCTCCCCCTGTGTGTGTGCGTATATGTGTATAGGGCATTAACTAGGGAGCAGGCCTCCAGCTTTTATCATATTCTCAAATGCCATCTTCCACTGTTCCATTCCCCAATTGAAAAATACTAGAATGGTCCTGACCCTTGTGGTTTAGTTGGTTGGGTGTGGTCCTGAAGAGTGAAAGATTGCCAGTTGGATTTCTGGTCAGGGCACAAACCTGGATTACGAGTCAGCCGCCAGTCAGGGTGTGTGCAAGAGGCAATGGATTGGTGTTCTCTTCCACATCAACGTTTCTCTCCCTCTCTTTCTTTCTTCCTTCCTCCCTCTCTAAGAATAAATAAATATGATAAAAACAGTAACAACAGCCACAACAAAGAACTATTGGGATGCCTGATCTCTGAGGATCCTGCTAGCATCAGTAATCTGGGGTTCTCAGGGAAGCCCAATGATGTTGAAAGCCATTCGACAGATCTGTACAGTTCAGGAGTTAGGATAGGTGTGGAAGAGTTGACCTTAAACTTCACAGTGAAGCAAAAATGCGGTCATCCTGCAACTTGCTGCATGTGCTCGGTACTGGAATGTGTAAGATGCGCCTGAGTGTGCTTTCATGTGTGGCCATGGTCCTCAGATGCTCATGGAGCATGGCGTTTCTCCCTCAACCTCTTGCTCATCCTCTCCCCACCCAGCTGGGCACACAGTGGTTGAATATGGGTGGCCACAGTGATAGGGGCTGGGTGGGTGGGGCCCAGAAAGGGAGAATGAGGAGGGCCCGGGAAGTTCACCTGCTAGGAAAGCCCTGTATTTGGCATTGCAGCCTTAGACATCCCTGACTCTAGTGTTTAATCGAGCATTTTATAGTCTTGTCATGCATTCCCTTTCTAAGGATTACACATGGCATTCTTTTTCCATTTTTTAAAATTGCATGTGAAGTAACCCATCTGGAATGATGTAAGTTAGATTGCCTTTGAGGACCACACCAAAAATGTGAGTCAGTAATTTATGCTTGGGCAAAATTAGGCTTACACCATGGGACAATTAGCACTAATCCATGAAACTTGGAAGCAAATTTGACCTATGTCTTCATTCCAGCCAAACTGGCTTTCAGTGATTTGAGGTGTGACTTGGGCACTTTTTTGTTTGCTCATGGGCATAAAAGATTTTGGCTGTAGACCACAGAGTTAAGTAAACAAAGCAAGGCTCTTAATTCTTGAGTTTCTTAGAGGTGGCAATGAGACATTTTGCCTAATAGCAAACATTTATTGAACACTTAATATCTCTTAGGTATTCTTTTAAGGGCTTTTTTTGCACTGTTTTATCTAATTGTCACCACGGTCATGTAAAATGGTTTCCTTATTTCCCCCATTTAGCAAATTAAAAACAGCCTCACAGATAGTAAGCAAATCGTTCAAGGTCACAGAGGTAGTCGGGGTCAGGAAGCTGCAAGTCAACTTTTCCCTGGTTTTCATTGCACCTGTGTAAAAAATATTACCGTATCTTTTCAAGGACTAAGTTTTCCCCAACTTATATCATTGAGGGCATGAACAAAGTGGTTACTTATTTTACTTGTGAAGAGAAAAATTTATGAAAATCTTTTTATTCTTTTGTGATTCATTATCTTGTCCCCCCATACCCCAGTTACCATGGCGTTCTGGGGACCTGTCAGTCAATTGAAATTATGCTTCAGAAAAATCATTGGACCTTGTATCACCTCAGAAATGCATATAAAAATTGTTTCCCAAAGGCATGCATACAGCTTTGTGGAAGGACTCTGTAAAAAGACAAGTAGGGAGACATCCGGGAGGCAGCTGAAAATGAACTAGGCTGCAGATCATCAAGTGAGGTAAAGACTTCAAGGGAATAATGTCTTTCAGTTAAAGATGGGTGATAATGGTCCCCCAGGATGACTGAGCTCGGCTAATTTGGGATTTAAAATGAAGGTTATTCTAAGGGCATCTTTTTATTTCTGTTAAGAATAGAAGACATGTCTTTGGTGAGTTTCAGAGCATGAAGAAGACAAAGACCACTTTCCCACCTGCAATTTCAGTGCATTTTTCATTTGATGCTTCTTTTGGTGGACTTGGCTGGTGCTAAAAGAGGCTGAAGGCTGGCCATGGCGAGATGATAGTGAATTTGGTTAAATGGCCTGAGATAGGCCAGTCCTCAGTGTGCCCTGGTTCTCCCAGGAATAGCCCTCTGAATTTATTGAGCCCAAATTTAAAGGACATTTAAATTACTTCCTTTAGCAAACTCTTGAACCTCCCGTTGAAGGCTCTTTATTTCAGTAAAGATGTGATTCCCTATGATTTCTCTTCATCTTTAATTGCACTGTTGATATAAGAACTTTTAAATCCAACTCTTGGTGGGTCCACTCAATGTCTTCAACATTTGTTGTGTCATTTTGGAAAAGGAAAAACAACCCCCCCAAACTTTACACCTGTGGTCTTTTGGATTTGATCATTTGAAGGTATTTGTGGGAAATGATGATGTTTTGTTTAATTTGCTATTTGAGGAAAGACATTATTAATTTAAAAATCAGGCTATGGAGGAATTAGAATAAAATTAAATTAAAAGGAGGGTAAATTGGTGGAATGATCAGGCATGGCCATCCACTGGATGAATTGCACATGGGTTACGCAGCTAAGGGACACGGAGGGAAGTCGACAGAGAGAGACTGGCAGTGGGCTCTGATAGTGTCAGAAGTGCAGGTTTCTGGGTTCTTCATAAAACACCTCACCAGTACGGTTGAGAATAGTATGTGTGAATGAAGTCGCATTGGCACTTTTGGAAATTCAACTCTTCTCCCGGCCTAGTACATAAAGCTGAGGATCCACTGTAGGTAGGGTGGTCTATATAGATGCGGGGGATCATGCCATCGGAGCCAGGTAGCCTCATTAATCTCAAAGTTTTGCAATATCAAATAATATCACAGTGTGTGTTATAGTACAGAGTACTCTGGCTTGAATATGCCCCTAATTTCTCACCTTCAGCCTCCTCAGATCAACACAGCCTGTTCCAAATACTTCTCTGAAAACAGTTTTGTTACCCCGATGCCTCAGGGAGTCACAGCAGCAGATGCTCAGATTTGCAGCAAGAAAACACAAGTGATGCACACGCTTCCAGCTGTGCGCTGTTCACATTCTATTATCCCAGGTGGCAATTTATTACATTAAGTAAAACTCTAATTTGATTATATATCCACATGGGAAAATAGTGACTTACCTTCTTTTTTTGGGGGGGAAACTTAAGGAGTGTTAAATGTTGGAGTTTTGAGGATGTTTAAACAGCTCCCCTTAACAGTATCTTGCAACACGCCATACGAAGACTGACCTCTTTCAGAGCTTGGGCGAAGAGCGAAAGCTGGAGGAGATGCCTTGACAAAATCTTTGTAAAATCAGGCTTTCTTGTCCCAGAAAGCAGAAATCCCCCCTCCAGTCTTTTTAAGGTATTACAACTGATCAAATTACTAATAAGTCTGTAATTGTTACCTTTGTTTTCTTAGAGCTGGTCTTCTCTTTTCTTAGAATGCTCTCACCTGCGTTATGGCTGCCATTCAGAATCACCTCCTACTGAAATTGCATCCACGCTTTAGAATGAGTTGAAACTCTGTCTCCACTCTAAACTTTTCCTGATTCTCTGCCTTTCCAAACATGGAGCTTCTAACTCTAGTGAGCAATTATCTTGGCTTCCTGGATGGCTCTGAACTCCATCAGGACCGAACGATAAGCCAGTGCAGAGGTCCTTTCGTTTCCTCTCGTCTCATTCACGTCTTTGCCCCTCTGACCCCGAGTACAACGCTTTCCCCATTTTCTACATTTACTACATTTTCTATGGACTTTTGATAGAGGAATTAGTAGAGTTTTAATTGGTAGAAATTCTCTCTCCTTTTGGGAGCAGAACACATGGACACTCTAGAATAGTCATTCAAAGATCTACATTGAAACTCTGAGGGTAGAAGATTGGGCAAAGCTTCTGGGGCCCATTAGACACCTCACAGTTTCTCAGTATCTCAGATGTTCAGTTACTTTTTGGCTCCTATTGCCATTTTCGTCTAGCTGCCCATACAAAGTACTTGGGCATTTGATTCCTTGAAGGCATTTTATCATATCACATCAAGTTTTTATGAATGTACCTGATTAGCATAGTGCCCGGCACAGAGTATTATAGATGCTTTAAGATTGTTGTTGAAAGAAATGATAGACTAATTATTTAAGGGGTCTCCCTAGAGAACGTGCTCTCATTTCTTGAAATACTTACCTCTTGACATTTATTGCTGCTAAGATCAGTGCAATATTTGACACTTTGAAAGTGATGGTAAAGTGGCTTCATTTAGCCTCTGGGTCAGTTTAAGTGGCTCTCCAGGAGCTGTGCCCATAACAGCCACAGAAATGTGGAGACAGGCTGATAAGAAAGAATACAAGATACAAGAGTTTAGTGTCATTGGCAAGTGCAGATTAGGACATAGGATGTGTGGGGGCCAGGGGCTCATGGATCCTCCCTAGAGCACACGAAGGTGGGAGGGTGTTGGTGGTGAGACTGGGGAGTCTCTATTGTTTCCACTCCTGCTCAGCCATCCCACCCTTGGTCACCCCTGGACTTGTGGGGGCTCTGCGAGTCCACGGAAGGCCCTTGAAGCCTCTCTGTGACCCCTGACATTTAACCTGCCTTTCTCCCCTGACAGGACAACACAGAGGGCGGAGAGCTCCTCCTTCTATTTGCCCCGTCTGTAAAGGGCCTTTAATCTGGTTTAGCATGAAAAATTCATTAAGAATGTACTATTATTTCATCAGTGAAATCTTCAAATTTTAAATTAAATCCATAGGTCTGGTTTAGCAACCGCCGTGCAAGATGGAGGAAGCAAGCTGGGGCCAATCAACTGATGGCTTTCAACCATCTCATTCCCGGGGGGTTCCCTCCCACGGCCATGCCCACCCTGCCAACATACCAGCTGTCGGAGCCCTCGTACCAGCCCACCGCTATTCCACAAGGTATGGAGGACGGGAGTCAAGGCCAAGTTAAAATGTAACTCCGGATAGCTTTCCCTGCTGCCAGTTGTGAGGAAGATGATGACATTGTTGCTATTAGTATGTTAATGACATTGTATTAGATTGTCCTGAACATACCAGTCACATTTCAGAAACGGAGTTTGTTCTGAAGCAAATCCGAATCTCTCTAAATAAAGTGTGTTGTAATATAATCCTATTTCAGTATTTGAAAACAAAACAAAAACAATGAAACCAAACAACCTTTCTAAAAAACATGCCATTTGCTTTTCTTTGGTTGAAAATGTGCTTGTTCATTTGTGCTCCAGTGTGCAATTAACTAAAGTTCTATGATGGATACTAAGCACAATAGTCATGGAGGGAAGCTAAATTTTGACAAAGTCACTGTTTGCTGGCACATATAACAGTGAATGGGGTAAATAAGTCCAAATTCCAGGCATTCAGAACTATTGTATTAATACTTAGGTGCTTTGAAAGTATATTTGCTAAAGAAATTTGAGACTTGCAACTCTTACATTGGTTAATTCTTATGTTGATTAATAACATTCACTACCCAAATAAGTTTGTTAGCCTTGTTAATGTGATTTCTGAATTCCTATTCTGGTTGCGTTTGCCATGAAAGTATATAAATAAGTTATGCACATGTGTGGAGATATGTGCATGTCAAAAATGCAGATGAAAGTGAACATTGGGACTGACCAGTGGCTGCCCCTGACGGTGTGGTGACTGTGAACTTCTGCACTGAGCTCTCTGTGCCAACAAAGGCGCTTGGTGGCTGACTGTCTTCTTCATTGCAGCCGTTTCGGACCCCAGCAGCACCGTTCACAGACCTCAGCCGCTTCCCCCGAGCACTGTACACCAAAGCACTCTTCCTTCAAACCCAGACAGCAGCTCTGCCTACTGTCTCCCCAGCACCAGGCATGGATTTTCCAGCTATACAGACAGCTTTGTGCCTCCGTCTGGGCCCTCCAACCCCATGAACCCCGCCATTGGCAATGGCCTTTCACCTCAGGTCAGTCCCATGTTTCCAGACAGATGATTTGCTGTGCACCAGAACCGAACAGTCAATTCCCCGAGGCAGTGGTATAATGAATTGCCAAATTTAAACCATAATGTATTCTTTATACGAGCCACATGATTTCAGTTTCCTAGTTTCCTTTCTCTCCAGCCTTCCTACAGGCTGTATCAAAAGTTGCAGCTTAGACTTAAAGTCCGGGTGATTTATAATGTAATCATGAAGATTTTATGTGTATACATAGTTGTCAAGGTGTTTGCCATCTCTACTCCTAGTTCTGGTCGGTGGATAAGAAACTCACACACATCTTTTTAAAAATGGCATTTGGTCAGCCGAGACGGTTGTGAGCAAAAGCAACTAATAAAACACTAGATTTTATAAAAATAATTGAGAGGAAGCAAACCAGTTATGTAGCGAGAGGGCTAATGACTCCAGAACTCTGGGATGAATGAGTCATGAATGCATGAATTAGGAGAATTACTGCTCTTGGGGAATATAGAGATATTTGAATGTTGTAATTGTTTTTCTAATTTGCATTGCACTATGAGCTTTTCTTGAGAGATCATATTAATAAATTGCCTTGATAATTGCATGTCAGAGGGTTGGTTAAACTTCCTACACGTGGCATCTGTCTGAGGTCGACATTATTAGCAATTATTTAAATACAGATCCTTGATTTTATTAGAGAGCTCTTGGTCCAGGTGGCGGGGATAGCCGCCTGCTGAATTTGGAGAAATGTCACAAAGGGGTGGCAATCTATAATTGCAATCGGGAGTCTCTTCGGGGGCTGAGAGTGAGACTTTTAACAGCTTTATCTTTTCTTAACGCCCTTTTTCCTCTTGGTGGTTAGGAAAACAGAGAGAAGCTCCGAATGACACAAATGAAAAGTGAAAAGACAATTATAGTCAATTACACACTAATCACTGACTATCACCGCTGCCTAAGCACCAAGAGGGCATTCTAATAGGCAGAAAATGAGATTTTAATGGCACAAAGGGTGGCCAAAATAACGACTCATATATCTTTGCCTTCTTCGTTTTCTTCAACTTGTGGTTTGCGTCTTGGGAGAGGGGTTCCTGGGCTCTGCACCACGGTGATAAACTCCGGGCAGCTACCAAGTTCAAAGCTGCTGCAGTTGAAAAGAATGAATACTGAAGGCAATGAAATAAACATTTCCGCCTAGAGGCAAAAAGTTCATAAATCCTTTTTTTATTTTTTTTTGTAACAGTAAATGTAATTAAGTTTCATAGATTCCTATAGCACATTCTGGGATAAAAAAAAAAAAATCAAGAGGCGGCTTTAGACCTCAGCCGAAAATAACGACATGAAAACAATGAACGTGCTTCCGACAGGACTTTCGTACATTTAATTTCCAAGTGCTGGCATTTCTGAATGCGGTTTTTGCATGAAAACCGTGAACTTATATTAATACATGCATCTTGAAGATGCCCAGGTTCGTAGCATCTTCCACAGCTTAGAAGTCACATCAGACGCAGTTATCTCTGTAGTTTTTCACAGGAGTGGTTTGAGGCCATGAAAAAGCTTTTTATAAATGTGATTTGGCTGAAAGTTTTCATAAAAGTAAACTTTGAGTCTAACCACTTCTGTAAGGTGAGACCCAGGGGTCTGTTAGCATTTCATGGGATTCTGTCACAGTAAATATAATGAGGCAATCTGTATTCTATAAGTGAAATGGCTTGTTTTTCTATAAATGTATCACCTTGTATGTTTAATAAGTGTATTTTATTATATTATGCAAGCATTACAAAAGTGGAATTATTAGCACTTGATCTTGAAACTGTTAATCCTTGATTTTCAAGAAGCTTGGCTATGATTCCAGAGCTGGCGGGAGGGTGGGAATCGTTCCAATATCAAGCAATGGAAAATTCCGCGGGCAGTTTTTTCTGTATTTCTTTACTGTGCTCTTACATATTATGTTAATTCCTTCCTTAAAGCATCGCAAATATCCAGGATAGTTTGCATTTCTATCGTAGGCTTCTGCCTCAAACCCCCAGTAGGACCCCATGTGGTCTCAGTTCTGGCAGCTTCCCCAAAGACTTAGCAAAAAGACAAATAATATGAAGCTTTTTATTTTCTCACACAAAACTGAAGAATGAAAGACAGTGAATGAATCAGTATCTTGTCAGACATCTTTGCAAAATGTGGGAGCAGACCCTTCGGGAATTAGAACTCAGATTCCTGTAGCTTTGGGGATTCATCAGTCCTCAGGAATGCCTCTGTTTGTGCAAGGGTTTGGTGCGTGCTTCACGTTTGACCATCTAACTTTATTAAGAGTATAATGAAGAAAATGTGAAGAGTAAAAGCCCACGTACCTGTAAACTAAAGTAGAGAAAGGGTGGAGGTGACCCTTTAGTCTTGTTGCTAATTTTATAGAAGAGCCTATTAATATATTAGAGAATATAATATTAAAATGAAACTAATGCTAGGGTTACCATTTCTTCTCTTATTTTCACCTTTTCACTTTTCTGCCTCCATCTGGGTGCCTACAATGCAAACACATTGGCCGAAGCTCAGAGAGCTGATGGCCCGTTGAAGCCACAGGGCGGACGTTGAGGCAGTTGGGACTAGAACCCAGGATTCCTGGCTTCCAGACTTCAGTTAGTGGAAACTAGTTTTCTAAACTTTTTGGGGGGGGTTTCAGGTTAAATTATGCTCTTTGTGTTAATAAAAAGAGTATACGTGTATTTTTTCTATACGTGTATTTTTTCTTTGCCCACTTCTATTAATCTGCTAACTTGGACTAACAATCTGTATGCTTATTGTAAAAAATGGAAATATTTTTAAAGGTGTTTTTGGAGGAGAAAACAATCACCTTGGGCAACCACTGTTAACATTTTCGCTTGTTGCCTTCTGGTTCTTCCTTTAGGGTCTCACACCTTTTTAAAAATACACCTGAGGTGGCAGTGTGTGTAACTTTGCATCTTGTCTTTTCTCGATCTTCATATTTCATCACAGACCCTTCCCCACCTGCTAGTTCGAATTGAATTGTAGCTAAAGTTGTTTGAGTCATTACAATCAGTTCATTGTAGATCTCTCCAGGGGAGGCTATTCGATATGTTAAAAATATTTGTGCATTTCACTTGACTTTTTCCCTAGTGTCATTAAAGGTGATGTATTATTTGCCATCCCAACTTGAAAGTCGTAAGTTAGAATGCACGTGAACTTTTGTACCATGGGCTAAGTTCCTCGTGAAGGTGTGAATAGACACCAGGATGGTCTTACTATTTCCCTGTGTGTAGACTGTAGTTGCCTTTCTTTGGGGGCTTCTAACCTACCTGCCTCCTCAAACAAAACATCCTTTTAAACCTTGGAATCAAAGTTATTAGCTGAGTGGTGTTAGCTGAGTGGTGTTTGTTAGCTGCCCTCAGCCCTTGTCTCAGGGAAGGTCTCGGCTTCGGGAGGAACAGGTTTGTAAAGGAGGGACTCAGGAAGGTCATAGCTGTCCTGCTGCGGAGATTGGAGCACCAATGGGCTGACATGTACGTATGACATTATAAATCTCAGAACACTGACAACAATTTTTAGGAACTTTGTTCATATCTCTCCTCAAGTTCTGAAAGGGTGCATGTGCTGCTTAGTTGTTGGTTCTGAGGAAATCAGTAACTATATCTGGGAGACAGCCCCACTTAACATATGGGAAAACTGAGGCCAGTGCACACAGCTATAGAAATGACAGGGGAGTAATAGCTGGAGTTAAGCACCTTATCCGTCTGTCTTGCAGTTGTTACTAACTCTTCTATAAACAGAAATTACACACTTCACTTGCTGAGGAAGCACAGTGTCCTAGAAAGTTCTCCAGGCACTGGTGTGTGGCCTGATCGGAGTAGGCAAGGCCGAAAGGCTGGAGACGGGGGGTGTCTGGCTTCCCATTCCCTTGGAGACTGGATCTGCCAGGGGACTGGAGGCGGGATTGTCAGTGACAGGTGAGGAAGAGGGCAGGCTAATGACCTCAGAATTTTCTGCAGCCTCTGAATTGCATTTCGTCTGAACTACGTAACTTTTTTAGGAGACAGGGCTTATGCAATGAACGACAAAACACCCTCTGAGAAGAAAACCATTCGACTCACTCTACAGAGGGGTCCATTCCCCTGGCAGTAGCTGCCTTCCTGTAGAAGGTCGTGTTCTCTTGGCGTGAGACGCCAGAGAAAGAACACAGGGAAACAGAGGTCGTGCCTGTTACCAGCACCTTCCTGCTCGAGCAGGACAGAGAATGGAACGTTGACTTGGAATAGGGAGTGCTGAGGAAACGCTACCATGTGCTCAAGGCATGAGACTAATTAACATGTTCTTCTAATTAACTTTGTGAGAAACACTACCCTCACTGCTCCCCCACCTCCAAAACACATACAGCCAAACCAGAAAAACAAGGCCTTTGACCCGAACAACCTTTTACCATTTCACGCTCTGCTCCCCACTCTACGCCTGCAAACTCCACAGTTTTTGGTGACGGTCTCTAATAATTTCTCGAGTGACGTACAGTGTCAGTGGGTTACGTGATTTCGAGGAAGCTTTTGTTTTTTATTGCTATGTAGTATACGGTCCTGGGCCAACTTGGCTGCATTTAAGGTTCATCAACCATTGCAAATGATTCTTCAAATGTTTTGGGTTTGGTAAAACGTAAAACACATTTTGCCAAGCACTTTCCTCCTTAATTTTTCAAACTGTGTATTTTAGGGAAAATTTGATCCATATGGTTTTGATTCATTTACTCATATCATTGACATTTTTTTTTTCTTACGGAGCCATTTGATATCCAAGAAGCTTTCTAAGCCTTTCTTACGTTCATTTTAAGCATTTCCCTCCTTAAAAAGAGGAAGTCCTCTTTGCAAGCTCAGAGGCCATAAATTTTGAGTACTCTCTCAATTCAGCAACACTTAAAAATACATTTGGTATAAATCTGGATTATTATGAACACATTTTATGTTTAGAGCAGATGGGCAGATTTTCCTTTCTGGTTTATGAGTGAAACAAATGAC